AAAACATCGGTCTATGCCTCAAGGGGGCATTGTAAAATATATTTTTTCAAAATTTTCTTTCATAGACATGTTTGGCACATGTGGGTCACCATGTACAAGAAAATTTGAGTGATTTGGAGGTGGTGGAAAAATTCACCTTTTTTCAAAAACTGGCTTAAGTTAAAGACCAAATGGTCCCTCCGGAATGCGGGCATTTTTTCGACCACCTCCAAATCACCTCAATTTTGGCACACATGATCTCTTCCACAAACAAAACTAGGTTTCCAAGTTTTTGTATTTTTTTGAATTTTTTTGAATTTATAATGCCCTCTAGACTGACTGCTGAAAACATCGGTCTATGCCTCAAGGGGGCATTGTAAAATAAAAAATTTCAAAATTTTCTTTCATAGACATGTTTAGCACATGTGGGTCACCATGTACAAGATAATTTGGGACCTGCATGCAAGAGTCGGGGACCTGCATGCAAGAGTCGGGGAACTGCATGCAAGAGTCGGGGACCTGCATGTGAATAGTGATTCATCAAGGCCTTGACAGCTACTGGCACAGCGGCTGCCGCCCGATTTGCATGCAGCGAAGATGAACGTGCATGGAGGTTTCTCAAAGATTTCCAAACACACCCCAGCGGGCCCCGCTTATTTAAAAAATATGTCAGTCATTATTGCTCTGTAAATGAAGAATATGCATGACAACCATAGTAAGGGTGAAGAATCATATTCATCCTACAATGGGGACCAACGCTTGCTAAAATCACCTCGATGAAGGTATTTAAGCAGGTAAAGGAGCTGGTCGAGGGGCGAGGTGGGACTATTTTTAGTTAGACGAGAACAACGCGCGAGATCATACGCGACGTGGGCCGTCCGGAGCTGCAACCTTGGATGGGCCAGTGTTTGGGTCGACGTAGGAAAACGGCCTGCCATGCATGCATGGCGTCGGTAGTCTCGCCTAAACGATGGACACGCACCGAGCCAGCCATGCAGACCATGGGATCGCGCGGGAGATCTGTCTGACGGCCGTGTGTGCGTGCAGAAATACATCACAAAAATCATTCTACTCGACAATAATAATTGCTCCATGCTAGCCCTTATTCCTGTTCGAAATACATCATCATTCTTAAAGTTGGACATCAAATGATACACACAGAAAATGGAAACGAAAGATGTCAAACTAATACCGTAACATGGCAGTACAACCGCGCTTCACTAAATTACTGTCACGATGAAATAGAATGTAAAGACCACGTCACACAAAGCTGAATGGCACACGACTTTCTCTGGCTCATCGTCGGTTCATGCTGTATGTAGATATCACAGTTCAGCCTCGAGATCTTACACAGAAGAATACAATAAATCACATGGACATCAATTATGAGTAAAACACATGCAAAAAATAAATATGAACATATTTCGTACCTCTAGCAATTTAGCGCATTTACGTCGATTGTGACCTGGTTTCTTGCAATAGCCACAGATATTCTGTGATCTTGACTTCTTTGTCTTTGCCTGCAGCCTTTTCTTCGGTGCACCACGTCCTGGCACATGCACGGGATCCAGAACCTTATCAACTTTCTCCGAGTGCGGCATCAACGGGCCAAATCTAATGCTGTTATGTTGAGCATTAGTTGACTCCTTGTTGTCAGCTTGTTCAAAACTTGATTGCTTGCCATGATGTTGTGCTTGCAAAAGCATCTTTAGACGGTGATAGTCCTCATCAGAGTGGCATGCCTTGAAACTTGCGGCGTGACTACAATTCCGCAACTCGCGGTACCTCTGCAGGCTTACCGAATAGTCATACATCTGGTTTTTTCTGATAGGTGCGTATGCATATTTTGCATTCATAGTCCACCTAGTGGGAACGCAACAACCGGGCAGAATTGTTTGTTTTAAAATCCCCAATATGTAAAAAATGTGGAAACATGGTGTGCCTGCGCATTCCAGCTTACGGCAAGAACAACTCACCCTATGCAAAAGACCTTCTTGCTCTTCAATGCGCACTCCAAACTTTTTATCCATTCTTTCCTGCTTGGACACAACATAAGTGGAATCTTCTGATCCATCTAGTATCTCTCTGATCTGACATTTGCTGACAGCATCTATGCTCCATAAGACCATCTTAAAGACACTAGGTGTGAAAACTGTTGCGGTGTGTTTCTCAAGCGGCGAAGCATTTTCCTCTGTAAATGGAACGGACTGCAAGGCTTCGACGTCATGGAGAGCTTCGTTAATCCGTCGCGACGCAAGGCAACGCTCATAGTGCTCTAGCATTTCAAACAACGACATCTTACCCTCAAGATGCGTATGTAGCACAGAGTTCAAGCTCTCACTCCTCTGATTGCTGCTCAATCCTAGGAAACAACGCCCCTCAAGATATTGAGCACACCACAACTTTCTCATCTGATACAGCCAAGACTCCTCACTGGTTACTTTATTCCGTTGTAAGAATTGTATCCATTTTATCTCATGCTCTTCAATGGAAGAAGTATCATAAATGAAAGATCTGAATTCCTCCTTTATGTCGTCATCATGCAGATGGCGTACAATGTTCTGCTGAATGTGCCATATACATAGTCTATGGTTTGAGTCTGGCCAGACCACCCTTATTGCTCTCTGCATTGCATGGTCCTCATCTGTGATCACAGATATCGGATGCTTCTGTGTCATGCAATCAGAAAAGGTCCGCAACATCCACTCGTATGCCTGGCTTGTTTCATGAGAAATTATACCACAACCAAAAATAACAGTGCTGCGGTGGTGATTCAACCCGACAAACGGCACGAATGGCAGATTGTATTTGTTGGTTCTGTATGTGCTATCGAAAACAATGACGTCTCCGAAAGCCTCGTAGTCAAGCCGTGATTGACTATCAGCCCAGAACAGTCCCTTCAGATGGCCATGCTCGTCTACCAAGTACTTGAAGAAAAAATCCACATCTCGCTCTCGCCTCGCCATCATGTGCATGATCACTGTATTAGCATCACTGGCACTAATTGTCTCCTGCTTATTAGCATGGCAGAAATTATAAATGTCCCTCTTTATGCATCCAACCTTATCAAATCCACCGTATTGAAAGCACAAAATATCCATAATACGGTATTTGCGGATTCCACATTTTTCCATGTCCGCAATGTATGCTTTCTGCTCATCGCTAATTCGTCTGCGAACGCAGCAGACAAGAAAGATCCCGTGGGGCTAGAGGATGGATGTGCTCATCGATGAAATCCTTGACAAACCACCGACCGGTTTCCTCCTGTCTCTTAATGACCAATTTAGCATTACATCCAACACGAGTTAAACTTCGTGGCCTCCTCTTTCTATCTTCCATCTTTCTTTTCATGTGCTTCTCTTCGCGAAACCCTTGACGACTACACACAATTTTCCTTAAAATTATGTATTTGTTGGATCCATCCCACTCAACGTAGTTTTTCCTCACACTAAAACCTTTTTCAAGAGCATATTTGTTGTAGAATTCATAGCCTTCAGCCTCACTATCAAACATCTTGCTGACAACATTTAGATACTCGAACATACTCTCATCACTTGCATACGCCATGTCTTCCTGCATATGACATGTGAGGGAAACCAATCATCAATATCTTTCTGTTTATCAATGTTGCAGGTGTAAAATAGCTCATAGGCAAAGACAAGTGCATGGAAAAGACTTTGCTCATTTGACATGTGAGGGAAACCAATCATCAACGTCCAACAAGTAGTATCTCATCTTCCTTTAAACTATATTTCATGCACTATGCAAACCTAAAGTGATGATGACTTTAATAAACTAAATTAAGTGAACTATGGAACCAGTATCTCATCTTCCTTTAGTATATCTCATCTCAAACGTCAAGTAAGTCACTTTTTTTCTATGGTACCAAAGGAAGTAAGCAATGCCCTCAACATCTTACTTAAACAAACATGATGCGATTAGCTCAAGAGAAACTATGCCACGATGAAGCTTTCCATTCGTTGTTCTAGTCCGTACCTGGATCTTGTGGGGTTGAGGTTGTACTGCATGCACGGTGGAGGGGCGCAACGGCCAAGAGAACGAGCAGAACGCCAAGCCGAATTCATACCTTAAGGATGGTACGCGCGAAGAGATGGGATCGCCCGCCGCGGTCGCTGCCGATTCAGCCGGCGCAGATCCGGCCTTCTTCTTCTTCGGTGACGGCGTGGGGGGCTAGGGTTGGTTGGGTGGAGGACGAGGACGATGAATTTATTCCTCTCGCCGGGCAGGTCGAGGACGGAGAAGGTCAGGAGCGGCGAGCGGCGACGAATAGATCGGAGGAGGATTCTGAACTGGATCGAGTAGACATGGATCTGGTCCTCAGGTGATCGGTTCAAGAAAAGATATTTCCCCCTGGACCATTATGCCCTTATCGCAATTAACATATTAAATTTAATCAATTAAAATTCCCCGCAAGATCTGACGGCTAATAAAAATCAGACGTGATCAGACATGTAAGTACTGCTAAGTACTCCGAGTACTAACCCAATCACCGTAAAACAGCTCATGAAGAATATATGAGCCATGGCCGTTTGCAACAAAATTGTTCACTAGGTCCCAAAGATCATGTAGAAAGTTCTCCAATTGGCGCATCCTGGCCGGCCTGCCTGCTGGCCGCATGAATTGGTTGGTGGATGGTGTAGACTGTAGACCTGCTCATGGCCACTGGATAGTCGCAGACGAAATGCACCACTATTCCACTGGAGTTAGTTTGACTGAGTGGAATAGCGGGAGACCGATTGTGAAATAAATTATCTCCAGCGGAGGCTCCCATGGACCATGGTGAACGTACTCTGCATGCCGATCTACGATTCTTCCACAGATTCAGCCGGTCTTCACCAGCTGAACTTTCGTTGGTCAAAATCAGGATGAGAGGAGAAAAGCCAAGGCCGGACCAGGAAAGTTCAAAGCTTAGGGCGGGACTCCGATCTGATTCTGAGCGCATATAAAAGACCCGTCCCTCCGCTACCATTCTTCCCACCTCAGGCTTCCTTCTTCCAGCAATGGCGGCTCTGACCGGTGCAGCGCTCCTCCTCGCCAGCCTCCTTGCTCTTGCAGCCATAGCCAGCGGCAACACCGAAGGTGACATCCTCTACTCGCAAAGGCTGGCGTGGAAGGACCCCAACAACGTGCTGCAGAGCTGGGATCCCACCCTTGTCAACCCCTGCACTTGGTTCCATGTCACCTGCAACAACGTCAACTCCGTCATCCGAGTGTATGCCGCTTCTCTTCTCTCCTCCCTCCCTGCTCTCAAGGTCCAAATTAGTTCATGATAGGAAGCTACTACTCTGCTTTGCTGCAGTATGCACGATTCGTTTAAACGTTCAGAAGACCTTTTTACTTGGACCTTTTCTACTCTCTCCGCAGAATATATAATTAAGAGGAATCATAATTGTTGTTCTTCCTCGCTGTGCAGGGACTTGGGGAATGCAGGCCTCTCAGGCGCCCTGGTTCCTGGACTGGGACGAATGGTGAACCTTCAGTACCTGTAAGTACTACTGCAACTTGCTGCACAGTACAGACTTGTCAAGTTACACTCAGAATTTCCTGCATAATGATCGATCTTCTCATCTTCGTAGGGAGCTGTTTGGGAACAATATCAGTGGACCGATTCCAGCAACCCTCGGCAACCTGACACGCCTGGTCAGCCTTGATCTCTACGACAACCGTCTCACCGGCGCGATACCAGCCTCGCTCGGGAACATCGGGACGCTGCGTTTCCTGTAAGAATCTTGCTGCAGCGCTTTCGGATGACTAGAGGTTGAAATGCTTATTGTCTCCAACTGCTGAAAACAATCTGTTGGTGTTTATCTGCAGGAGTCTGCACGGGAACAAGTTTGCAGGTGGTATACCGTCTTCGTTGGGCCGTCTGACGAAGCTTCAAACTTTGGAGCTTCAGGAGAACATGCTGACCGGCACAGTGCCGCTGGAAGTCCTCTCTCTTGTTCTTCTTGGGGACTTGACTGAACTGTGAGTAGCACATACAGTTTCATTTAACACACCTCCAGAAATTGCATCCACTTTCCTCCTTCCTTCCCCAGTGACTTCCACTTACAGTATTTTTTATCTTCATGCAGTAACGTTGCCAAGAACAGTCTGGCCGGCACTGTCAAATCATCTAAACCAAGAGGTAGGGATGCATATATTTGTGATCTGCAGCTCTTGACGGATTAAGTTCTCCAATTCTATATTTTTCTGTGTGTGTACAATACATGTATAGGTTTGGTGCTTTAATTTGTGCTAACAAGAATTTTCCAATTGACATCATTTGCAGTAGCTACCGTCATCCAGGACACGCTCAAGACTACACGTCTACATGCTGAGCAGCACTGACAACCTGAACTTTTCTAAGAATAAACTGAATGTTTTTTTCCTTTTGAAACTGCTGGAAGAGGCTGTAGCCTTTTATTCCGTTAAGAGCCCCTAGCTTACATCCATTTCTAGAGAGAAAAAGGGAAAAGGTGAAAGGTAGTTGAATACATTGTAATCAGTGCAACTTCATAATAATGAATCTTTCTCTGCACCTTTAGTGCATATCCAGTGTTATCAGTTTGGTATATTTATATCTCAGGAGAGTATAGAAACCCTTGACACAGATGGCTCGGAAACACCATTCCATGCAGTTTCCCTTGCTGAGTGCGAAAACGGAGCATGTGATGGCCATTAGTGTTTTGATGGCTCAGAAGTTGTCTCTGAGTATGCTTATTCCAGATAATTGTGACTTGGAGCCATCTGAAATAACCACTATTATCGATGGCTTTTGTTTGAAGATGTCCACAATAATTATCATTGTATTGAAAGAGTGAGACACAACTCCGGCTTGTAGGCGCGACCACGGGCCGAGCATTGGCTTTTGTTTGAAGACGTCTACAACAATTATCATGGTATCGAGAGTGTGATACACAACGGCATGTAGCAATGATAATTAGGCACGACCATGGGCCAAGCATTGGTGACCAGTTATGTTTCTTAAGAACAAGATGAAAGGTTTCAACACTAAATAATGAAGAGCAGTTAATGCAAAATATTGTGGGAAAGAGCCAAATCCAAGCACAAAACACTTATTGATATCTCACACACTACGGATTTATATTACTGAGTGTTAGAACTGAACAACCTAGCAAGCAGAGTATAGTAGAAACTGAAAGAGTAACTTGCAAGGATTAGAGAATACAAACACATTGGACACGATGATTTTCCGGTGGTTCGGATAGTTGGCGATATCTACTCCACGTTGATGGAGTCTTTGAAAAAAATGTCTCAAGATCACAAGGATCTGGAGTGCGTCACCAATCAAGTCAACCTATTACATCATGGTTTGCACCAAGAAGCCTCACTAAGGGGTAGATCTCGACACTTGGAAGATGATCTCTAGGCTTTGTATGAACTCTTTGATTGCATCACAACTTGATAATTGAAGGCTATCAAGTGACTCATAACCGTCTAGGTGGCACACACAACCCTTAGTACTCCTCAAAACATCTTCCATCAAAGCTCTTCTCAAGAACCCATAAAATTTCTCTCACACACACAAAGGTTATGAACGGTGTAAGAAGGGAGGAACACCAGGTAGGGGTTCAAGAATAAGGCAGGAGCTTATGGAAGCAGAGAGGAAGTGTTCATGGAATCACTCCAACAATCATCGTTTATCCTCTCTTCTTGCTTGGACCTCTATTCTTCAAGACTTGAACTTGTGGTAGTTGGAATGGAGTGGAATGACTTCAATTTTCTTGCCACACGAAGGGGCATTCAAGTCTATATATAGAGCTCGGCATAAATATGAATATTACCTTGAAAAAGTAACTCATCCAGTAGAACCGAAGAATAATCTCAGAATTAGTGGACACGTTCAAAATTTGAATGGCCAGAGCAAATCATGTAAGCCTCGCAAAAAACATAGTACTCGTAAGTACTAGGAAGGAAACTGACGAAGGTTCTCGACAACAAAGTTGGATCTTTTCTTCATTCATGGAACTAGCTCAGAAGTACCATGTAACTTTGGTTTCTCAGCAGTATCGCAGTAGATGGAGCAGTCCTAAAAAAGAAACTACGTAAAAATAACAAAGTCAGAGCTCAAATGTACTAGGTGGAATTGCTCAGAGGTACTCGACATATAATGTGACCATGTGGAAGCAAACTTAAAAATGTTCGGATGTGCCATATGACAAGTTATGCTTTGGATTTTGGTTATCATTTGTTTGCTAAGAGCTTCCAGGATATGGCATTTCGTGGGCTAATTAGGAAAACAACATTATTGCCGAGACTAGAATGCATGAGCTAAATTTAGAGCCAGGCATAGCATGTAAATCTGTTTGCTCTATCCTTCATTTTTTTTAAGTCAGATAATATGTATTTTTTTTAGAAAAGGAGGATGACCCCCGGCCTCTGCATCTGCGCGATGCATATGGCCACTTTATTAATTATTCTCACAAAACCTTATAAAGTCATACAACAGTAAGACTAAAGCCGCCGTCTAAGCAACAAACTGTCGCTACACCTATCCAGTTGATGATGGGGCGCAGATAGCCTGAGCCTAATACCAAACAGACATCGCAGCCAAGCCTAACATCTAAGACCTGAGACCCCAACCTAGCCACTTGCCGGGTCTGGGGCACACACTGGTCCGGCGTGCTCTCAGAGGCCGTCGCCGCCAACTGTCACCGCTCCATCTTCAGAACTGTATTGATGCATCAACCTTGCTCGGTCCAGCTATCATCGATGCCACCACGGCGCCCAACGACACCTCCTCCCTGCGCGCAAACAGCTGAACACGTCGCGGTCGCCACTGATACACCTCAGCGCCATGCTGCCAAGTACCACCAACCGACACAGCTTGAAGCCCTTGGAGGATCTGCCGTGTGTAGCACCTGCCGACCAGGCATGACCAAGCGTAGCATCTGTCGGCTAGGCATGACTTGGCATCTCCACCGAAGCTCCGTGCAAGACAAAGTTGCTCCACCTCCTGCCTCTGACTTCCAGCGCTGATCCACAAAACGATGCTCCCAAGAGAGAAACGGCACCGCAGTGCCGCCATCGTCCGGTCTGGAACACCAGATCCTAGGGTTTCCCCCGGAGCAATACGAGTGGGTCAACGGTAGTCACATGACGATGCCTTCATCAAGGTAACGACGTGGAACACCGCCATCGCCCGTCGTCGGCTCGGTTTTCACCGGCAACTACGTCTTTCCGACTCGCAGGTGGTGCCAGATGACGGATCCCGAGATCCGAACACCCAGCCTCAGGCCAACCACCTCTGACGAAAGAGATCACCACCACCTCCGACTGCATCGGTCAGAACAGATCTGATCGGAGGTGCCGCCGACGAGACCACCAGGCCCTTCATGCCGCCGTCGCGGATCTAAAGGCAGCATGCACGCCACAGCAGCCAAGTCGGCCGCCGCCGACCGCAGCCGTCGTGGTCGCCCGAAGGGCCATCCGCAACGCCCGCAGCCCTGGCCTCTGCCGCGCCGTCCGAGGACGGGCCGGCCTCCCGCTGCCTGCAGCCATCTGCCGCGCCGCAGATCCCAGATCGGTCGCGCCACCACACACCTTGGGGTCTGCCCTACCACGGAGACGCGCGAGAGAGGAGATCCCCCGCCACCGCCGCCGGCCCTCGGGCTTAGCCCGGTGGCGTCTTCCGACGGCGGCGGAGGGAGAGGAGGAGGGAGTTTGCGGCAGCGGCGGCTAGGTTTCCGGCCGCCCGAGTCGCCCTAAGGGGAGGACGACGCGGACGAGTAATTGGATTTCTTAGCAATATATGTATAGGAACAGAGCTGGTTGGCGAGCTGAGGCAAGCCTTGCACATGAGTCTGACAAGTGCAAGGAGGCTGAACAGAGTAGTCATATTATAAACAAAAATGATAAAGAATTTGGAGGATCCTATTTTCGCGTCGCCATACTACCCTATGTCTCGCTGTAAGATTAAGGAATCATGAACTAATGGATAGTTCTATTTGCATACGACAAACCTGTATAGCATAGCGTGGTAAGATTATTTTACCTAAATGTATGCTTGCAAGGATTTCAGCACTCGTGGAGTAGTGTGTGCTAATGCATGCATATATTTTTTCTTATCCATCATCTAGTAAGCCAATCAGGCAAGTAGTGTAAACACCCGCCCCCAAGTGGTTCATGGATTTCCTTCATATGCTCCGATGCAACGACCAGTGACACAAATTGCATATGTATGAAGGTGAGCACGTCCATGGTCCTCGCTAAAGGCTCCAAACACAACTATGTCCCACTAGCTTGTCAAATGACTGTGAGTGTAGTCACTGCAGTGAGAACGGTCAATGGAGCTGAGCATACACTTACGTAGAGAAATCTCTTTAGAGAGAGGGAAATTAAGGCCCTGTTTGGTCCAGCTTTTATCGACGGATTCTGCTGCCGCGTAGCAGAATCTGAATCAAAGGGCGAACCCAGCAGAATCCGATTTCAGAAATCCGCTGCCAAAATATGAACCAAAAGCGGAAGCAGCCCAGGACGTGATTTTCAAAATCTGATTCCACTGCGGGGCAAAATCTGAAAAAGCTGTATCAGCTGGTTTGCTAAATGACCTACATCTTTTTCACATCAAATTTTCCACAGCTGTTTTTCCACAGCATATTTTTCACAGCTGCTTTTAGAAATCCACAGTCGAACCAAACAGGGTCTAAGGCTGAGGTACGACATGGATTCTGGGATATGGTCACAATTAACAAATATATAACCAATGCACTCACCCACCTTCCCTAGAGTAAACTTGGCCTATTTCCTTATAAAGGATGCACCGCTTCTGCAGTCTTCGTGTATCCCCTAGCTATGTATCAGGATAATACTGACTCTACTGAACCAACAAGCAGCTATGTATCAGGATAATACTGACTCTACCGAACCAACAAGCAAACACACACACGTGCGTGCACACAGTGTGTGCGTGCGTGTGTGTGTAGTTTTGATGGATTGGAACGACGCAGCCCGTTATGAATAGGAGACATGCAGAAGAAAATCATTTGTGGCGAACCAAAGGCATACAAAAACAGCGGTCCTGCAATCGGAACCCTTTGGCATGCGCATGCATCAACTGGTGTACGTTTTCATTTTGTCCCTGGAAGACTCAATTGCAGATTGGTGCTACAAAGACACATCTATGACGAGCAATGCTACACTTCCGCGCAGCTTTTCACGGAATAAAGGTTACGGACAGGCATGGCATCGTTAGGTTGGGAGGAGGAGGGCCATACCCCTGAAATTCAGGGGTAGGGATGGATTAAAGGCCGCCACATCAGTACATAGGACAGCTTCCGTGAAACTCATCGGTAAGCGGAGCATTTTCGCATCTATGACACACTCTT